TGGTTTTTCCTGCCTTTTTTGTTTCTGACCAAACCCTAATCATCATCGGCTATTATATTTTTAAATACTCACGACATACCGGAATCGGGTAGGGAATATGTAACACTTACCTGAAAAAAAAATATAATTATTAGAATTTACACGAAATATTATTAGAATATATTTTTATGAGAAGAAGAATAGTTGGGGTGATCAGTCAAATAAGAAGGCAAAACAAATGATAATATTTTTTTTGTCATTTGCCTCATTATTATTATTATATTATTATCATTTATTTTGCCTTCTTATTTGACTGATCACCCCAACTATTCTTCTTCTCATTATTCACGACAGTCAACTATTTAACCACTATTATGAATATATTTTTATAATTGAAGAAGATGAAATAATAATATAATGTAATATTATAGGTTTTTAAAATTTAATAAAACAAAATAAAAGTACAAAAAAAAAAAAAAACAATTTTAGCTGGAAAACAAGAGAGGAATAAAGTAAATTATATAAATTATCTCTCAAAGTTTTCAGTTGCGAAGAATTTGAAATTTTTGTTTAGTAACATATTGTATGCTACAGTTTTATATCTAATAAATTAAATTTAAATTAACAAAAGACTTGTTGGCTACGAAATGAAATGCATGCCACAACGCACATTTGTGAGATATTCAAAGTGTAATTAGTAGTGCCCCTAATGCAGACATTAAAACTCCACAGGAGGCGAGTGCCTTCTGAATATTTGATTAATTTGGAAAGCCACATTAAATCAGGGATATATAAGCCAGCTACTAGCAAGAGGAAATTTTGCAAACGCTGCTACAAGCTACACTAACAATGACTATATATATGTATATAAAGATAGTTATTATAATCGGGTAATAGATCACTAAACTACATTTTCGATTACTGGAATTCGAAAAATTTGCCGATCGTAATACTTTCATTTACTATATATTTCGTATATAGGTGAGTGAAAGTAAAAGTAGGGTCTTTTCATTAAAACGAACAAAACAAGAGTCAATCAAAAATATCCCTATTTATATTTGAGAAGTTTATATTGATTTATGTTTTCTTGACTGTTAAATGATATATATTTTCTAAGGCAACAAAAAAATTAAGTAAAGAAAGCGCGAAAAAACAACAACAAACAAATAAAATACACCATTGTTGAATCAGACCAGTTGTGCTCAAATTACTTTTTCTGAATCCTTCGATTGATCGAATTCAGTATTTGATCAGTTTTTTCTATTAGTGCGAGAGTCAGATTAGTAATATCTAGCTTTTAAAAAATACACCTGGAAATATTTCACCACCAAGTTTTAAAATTATAGTGTTCCACAAGAAGAAGGATAATTAACTTTTAAGTTAGGAAAAAAATAGTCGAAAAGTATAAAAATAAATTATAATAAATCACTATCGACCAAGGTTGATTACTTGGTAAGAAGAACCGTTTGACCGAGATGTAGTTAAGATCCAACCACCATGGTTATTGTGTGAGATGTGGTTATCCAACCACCTCTCCAATTAATGGTACCAGGGCTGGCTCTCCCCTAGAGCTCTATTGACTATAGGCACAGCTTCTATAAAATTATCAAACAGGCTTATATATTCAACAATTTGAAGAGCCTAGACATAAATTATCTGCCACGGACGGGCTCCAAGTCGGTCACAAGAATTAAGAGTGTAGCGTCTTCCCCAGTATTTAAGCAAGCAAAGAACACAGGTTACATGTTTCATTAGAAGCAGCCATATCAATAAGAAGAAACATCTCCATTGAAGCTTAATTGAAGTCAATCAAGTCGCTTATAAGTGCCGATAGATCCCTTCATCATCTCGTAGAGTGAAACCCTGACTTATGGAAGACATTTTTATGTGAATTATATTATATATAACGTGAGGTTACTCTCAACTTATTTCCTAATCAACTTAATTAATATGGTCATAAAGCTTGTTAAACAAGGAGGGTTTTTCTAAAAGGAGGGTATCTGTAGTTTAGTTGGAGAATGATAAAATATCGTGAATAATTCATCATCTTTTTAAGAACAGAACTCAGCATAGTTTATCCACTTAAAAGTCCTCTTTAAATGGTTTTAGCAATGACAAACTCAACTTTCGTTTGAAGTTAATTTTCTCTACTTTACTTTGAAGAAATTTTTAATTACTTTAATTGAATAGTTTATTAGTTATCACTTTCTATTCTACGAAATTCATGGCTTGCTTAAAATAGCACAAAACTTTAATTTCCAACTTCCCTGCTGAAGATCGGGCCATTAGTTATATAAACTTCTTTGTGGCTCTTCAGTTCTGCTATCAATCGTTTAAATATACCCCTCTAGTTAAGAGAAACATTGTAAATTTATATTTATTACTATTATTTTATTTTTTCAATTTATTATTTATTTTAATTTTATTATTTTTAAAGCTTTAATTATTGTATTATTATTAACTTATTTTACAATTTTTAATCTAAAACATGTATAAAACTATTAAAAATATGTATCTTTAGTAATGACAAACTCTTATTAAACTATACTTGTATTAAGATATACCCCCACTTTGTCAACTGTTAAAAACTGTACATATTGTTGTTTTTAAATATGTAATGGTGGGTTTATGGTTTACTGTAGTGAATAATTGAAATATTGTTATCTGGTCGTTGGCTCTCTTTACTTCTTGTACAGCAGCCCTGATAAAGGCCTGAACTTCGGGCCGAAACGTCGGCGAATGGAAAAATAAATAAAATTATTTATTTTTTAGAATTTCAATTTGACTGAACACCCTAACCATTCTTCTCTTCAATGTTTAAATATGGGTATGATTTATTAAGTCGATATGGAAATAAAAAAAATATATAGGAAGACCCATACATGCTATTGCAACTTAAAAAGCTTTAAAATCAATTTTAGAAATTTTACTGACGTCAACGACAATTTTCAAATATTGGTTCTAATTTATATCTGGAATTTGAATTGTCGTAGCTCTTTTGGGAGAGCGTTTTATGGGTTTTCTCTTTAAAAAAGTATTCTGCAATAATTTTTGGTGTTTTCAAATTTTGTTCGTGTTACTACATCAGAAGCAGTCAGAGACAATAAAACGAAAACAACAATTGAGCTAATAAAAAAAATCATGACTGATACAGCCATTGTTAGAACGTTTGATTCAATTCATTCGAAGTTTCTGATGAAGTATTTTTATATTTGTCACTAGCTAAAAACAGATAATTTAAATAAATTTTCATAATTTAATTATAACAATTTGAAATATTGATTGAATAGTAGGTGTGATTGATTATACTAGAAATTATCAATGCCCATTGGTCCCCCCTTCAATCAGACCAGTCAGGCCAGCTGGGGTTAAGCTGAATGGCTTCATCTCACCCAACACTGACGGTCCTCATCTGATGAATGAACCAGTTAAATCCTTCATCTGATATAAACGTATTTTCCTATCATACCTATCATATATAATATATAATATAATATATCATTAAAACCAAAAATTCCGCTGAAGACAAAAGAAGAAATTAATGGCCCTCCAAGTGGCTCTTCCACCTAATGCCTTTCATCCTTCAGAAATATCTAATATCATTCACAGGTTACCTCCCCGCAAAGCTCCTGGGCACGACCTAATTACATCCCAGATCCTAAAACTACTTCCTCGGAAAGCCATTCTAATCCTTACTTATATATATATATATATATATATATATATATATATATATATATATATATATATATATATATATATATATATATATATATATAATGCTGTACTCCAATCCACATATTTTTCTGACCCTTGGAAACTTTATATAATCAAAATGAAACCCAAAAAGCCCAGAATACCCATCCTCTTTCCGTCCTATCTCCCTTATACCCATCAAGAGCAAAATCTTGGAAAACTCATCCTAAAACGGCTGTATGCCATCCTAGATTTGAATCACATAATTCCCCATCACCAATTTGGATTCCGCAGATCCTATTCCACTATCCAGCAACGCCATCGTGTGGTGGATTTTGTCTCCTCTTTTGTCGCGAAATGTACTGCACAAGAGTCTTTCTCGATGTAGAACAGACTTTTAATCGAGTTTTGCACCCGAGACTGCTTTACAAACTCCGTAAATTCCTAAATATTACCCACTTCCTCATTATTCGTTCCTACATAACTGAAAATATTTTAAAGTGAATCACAATGACGCTTATTAATCCTTCTTTTCCCAGTCCGCTGGTGTTCCTTAAGGTAGTATCCTAGTTCCTATCCTTTACAAAGTTTTCACAGCTGACATCCCAATCCATCCTAACACTGCCATCATCACATATGACGATGACATATGTGTCCTATCAGTTATTATTTATCCCACAATTGCATCCCAAACTCTCCAATCACACATCACAAACCTCGAAGAATTTTGTCAAAATTTGAGGATTAAAATAAATTCCAATAAATCCCGTCAATTCACCCTACCCTTCGTCGTAATCCTATCAATTCCTGTTATGCAGTATCCTTTAATAATTCCCTGCTTATCCCTGTTGAACAAATCCGGTAACTTGGACTCCACTTGGACGAAGGTCTAGCTAGGAATCCTCATACCAGACTTAAACGACAAGTTACTGCTCGATGTCCCTGAATACTCCAACACTTGCTAGATAAACGCTCTAAGCTTTCAGTTAATTACAAAAGATTCATATACATGACTACAATAAGACCTATTTGGACTTACGGAGTTGAAATTTGGGAGTCCACAAAGACATCGAATTCTTAATTCTCGTATCCAATTCTTACAATCCAAAATCAAATTCACAATTACAATCCTATTGTAAATACAATTTTTTTTTTTTAGAGTGCTTCCGGTGGGTTGTTTCTCAACAAGTATTTTCATGTTTTTTTTTTTTTTCTGCTATCACATTTACTAAATGTATTTTTTCTTAATATAGTTGTAAATATCATAAATAAACAATAAAACGAAATTCATTTATTGTAAAAATAATCTTATTAATTTTTATCAGGAACTACCTGGACTCAAGAGATGGTTTGGCTTATCGGAAACAACTTGGATTACGAAGCGAGCAAGAACAAACTGCTACTCCAGAGATTTCCATTTTTAGAGTAAGTGATTACAAAAAATTTCATCTATCGATAAATCTAAAACTTTCATTCTTGAGACAACTAATAGCTTAAAACAAGAGGTGGATTGAGAATTGCATTTTTAGCCTAGCCCATCTGATAATAAGAAGATAAAATATATTACAGGAATGGGTGAAGTGATTTTTGCAGATTGTATCATTTTTCTTCAATAAATATATTCACCAATAAATGTTTTAAACATGACTTTTGGTTAGCTATTATTTTTATATTTTTTTAAATAAATAAATCACAAAATATTTAAATTTTAAGTTCGAACTGAAAAGTACCAATTTAAAGTCGTTCTTTAATTTGAGAACGGCGTTTAATTTTTATGATTTTGGATTGCTCCTCACCTGGCACACTGTGGGGCCGATCACCGATCAACGAGAACAAAAACTACTTTCGAAATTTGAGAAAAGTAATCCAGCATCCTTTTTGTAAATATTTGGCAACTTAAAAAGTTTTCCAGTCAAATTTAAAGATCCATTTAAACTCCCACTGTAGGGTACAGAAGAGTTATGGGCAGGCATTCAGCCCCACTCGTTGAAAAGTAGCTCCGCCATTACTTTATTTATAGTTCAAACCAGTGCCTGTGCATGGTATTGCTTAAAAATGCTTTAATAATTCAGTTAAAGATTTTTTTCACATAATTAATTTAGGTTCAACTAATTTAATCATGGTCACAATAGTATTTAAAATAGGGCTAGGACCAAACATTTGAAATACATAAAATCGAAATACAAACAACAACCATATCGTTAAAAGCACCCTTCCCGATATACAACTGCAACGATATTTTTTTTCATTTTGTAGTCTTTTTATTTTATTTTATGAAATAATCATCGAATTTGAAAAAAAAAACAAAAAAAAAATTTTTCGTTTTAGAAATTGTAAACAAATGTCTGGATTCAATGTTTTTTTTAATCATATGAAAACGTTATGAATTGTGTAATATAACTTATATTATAATATAAAAAAGCCAATGTACCCCTATTTGCCAACAAAACAAATGAGTGTTAGAAAAATTCTCAGAAAATAATTTTCTTTTTGTTTTTAATGAAATATGCCATGGCTGAAGCGTATTTGCTAGAAGTGAAAACAACCGTCATTCTTATCCAGTTTAGGAGTGGACAAGGAGACTGAACAATATTTTCTACATGTTTTGAAAAAAAAAAACTTACGAGCGGAAAGTACAACATACAGTATATCAGCAGTGTCCAGACGGCAATTTCATGACAAAAAATGCGCCATCAAAATTTTTAAGAAACATCATTTTTGCCACATTGTGGAATTTTATGGTGAGGAATGGGCGGGAGGTAGCACATGTTTACAGATCGCTTTGACATGGAAAGAAAAAACCACAATGGAAATAAAAGTAAAATTGAAATTGCAGTTAGGAAGCTATTATGAGGGACTTCAGCCAGCGAGTTATCTTTCTAATGATGTTGATAAGGTTAAGGGTATAGATTAAATTAATTTGAATACTTCCATACAGGTTTTGTTTTTATTAATATTGTTGTTGATTTTCTCTTTTTGTTCTTTGAAATTCTGATTTTAAATTTAAATTATCTTAAAAATTAAATTGCCGCCCTAAACTTAATTAATACTGACTTAATTAAGACTATAAAAATATTATTTGTATTTATATTTATTTGCGACGAAAACTTGATTTCCAATCGAAATTTATATTCAATGATTTTTTTTCCTAGATCCGCTATCTGCCCCAATATGGACCGATGAGATTGGTGGTCGCATCGCTGTAGGGTGGATAAATATTAATGTGGGCTTGGATCTTTGAACCCTCGCAACATAATTCAGTCAATAGATTGCCTCCATCGTTGTCATTGGCGCAGTACAGAGGCAACTCCCGTGACGTAGTTAGCCGGTTCGCCATATTGCCCATTATAAAGTTCCTTACGACTCCTACCTAGTATTTATCCACTTTGACAGCATTAGGAATCTGGATAACCATCAGCCAACGGTAATAGGTCAGGACATAAAAACGCGTTCGATAAAAAAATTAAAGCTAGCTTACCTAATATTAAAAAAAAAAAAAGAAAGAGATATTTTTTTCTTTTTATGAAAATCACGTAAATGCGATTTATAACCTCAGCAATAATTTCACCATTCCTATTTCTTTCAAAGGAGGTTCCATTACAATAAATAAAGAGTGAAAGCCTAAAAGGTTATAAAGAATAAAGAGTGAAGCCTGAAATCAAAGCTAACCATATATCATGTAGAAGTCACAGTTCAAATTTTTTTGTTTGTTCTTTTTTGGCTTTAAGACTTGTAAAAGCAAGTCCTATTTTGCAAGTAAAATATTTTAATTGTCATAGTAAGATGAGATTACACTGGATGTACATTAATTATTTATAGATAGATGATCACTGATTGTAACGTATATGTAACTTAAACTAGAAAAACAAATAGTTAAAAACTGAGGTGAATTAGAATTACAATAAGTCAGAATAAGAGGCGACTTTCATTATATGACTGCTTTTATGTCATTCAAAAACTTTATCAAGTCACGGGCGTTATCTTTATTCATCGACCAAAGAAAGTTAGCAGAAATGCTGCCACTCTTTCATTATTTCCCCCCTCACTATTCTTGTCAAATCCAGTAAAGGTGATCAAAAAGAAACTAAATGCGCATGAAAAATTGGTGACCGAAGAGAAGGAAGTGCTGAAGGTTTAGGAGTAGTTCATTCAGGATAAAAATAGTTATGGAAGAACATCAAAGTAATAATGACAGAGAAATTATTGGAGAAGAGGGAGAGTGAATAATGTTTATTCTGATGAATAGAATGACTCAATCGGGGAGGATGAGGTTAGCAGTTGTAAACATTCAGCAGAAACGTACCAAGACCAGGTAGCCTGCATGCACTGGTCATTAAATACAGTGGTAATGAAAGTATTGAAATGACTTGGGACTTCAAGATGTTACCACGAGATTGGAAATAAATTGCACCTATTCACAAGAAAGGCAGCCTACACATTGGCATGGTACCGCGCCAAGCTGAGTAAAACTACCAGGTTCACTCACTCAGAGGGAAAATGGCGGCGAGGAATTGAGCTCTGACGAAGCCAAAAGACTGAGTTTATCCCTCCGGCCTTTGTTTCTGGACATTTTAAAATTATTATTTACTTTTATATATTAAATCAATACGGTATTGGCAAATAACTTATTAATTTATTAATTTTAAATTTATTAATTATAAATATGAAAGGTGAGAGAAAGGTTGATTTGATATTTGGTTAGTTTCGAAGCAAATAAAATGTAATTTAACAAGTTGTATGATTTTTGCAATGTACCACAATACCACTTTTTAAATATTTCAAATAAATACAGAGCATAATATAAAATAATAGAAATATTTAAAAAAAAGAAAATGTATTTAATCTAACATTAAAGAAATGTTTTCTTTCCGTGAATTTTAGTAAATATTACATTTTTATGTCATAAGTAATCCTATGCCGTGATTTTTATCAATTATTTTGGCTTTGATTTTATGTTTTCTTAATTGTTGTAAAAATCATTGGGTATTTAAAAAATTGATTCTATTAAATACCCTTTGCTGAAAGAAAGGCTTTCTTCATTAATTTCTACATTTTTTTTCCTAAGAAAAACATAGTAAATTTTTTTACATTTACATTTTAAAATCCAATCTCTTCTTCGAGCGTCCTTTTGGAAAAGTATGAAATGAAATTTTCTTTCCCATCTTCTTTGTGTCAATTAGATTATTGTTGCAAGATGCAACTGCGCATTTCGTACGTGGCATTCTATAGGATTCTATTAATAATTATGTTATTATGAGAAATACAAGAAATACTAATCCACAAACGAATTCACTGTAACATGTTATTAAAAGTAAAAAAAAAAATACTCGTTATAATATTATTTTAGAGACGGATAAGTAGTTGACTGTTAAGATTATAAGGTGAAAATAAATTATCAGGATTTGCAGTAAAATTAGTTTATTTTTTAAATTAAATTTATTTATTTAAAGAAATTTTTACTGCAAATCCTGACAAAGATCTTCACCCTTATAATATTATTATAATATCGTTATAATATTAAAAGAAATACCCACGAGACCTACAAACAAAATTACACAAACATTGTGCTACAATGTTCCCTAAATATATATATAAATATTAGTTTTTTCTATTTATGTAATATATTTGTATATTATTTACAGAGATTTTGAAATAAAGAATTTAAAAATAATCTTAATATCAATTTCGTTCGTTTCGTTTCAGTTCTGGCCTGTCATCTTTATAGCATTTTATTCTAGATTGATAGCCGTATTTATTTATTTATCTGCTTGAAATTATCTTCAATCAATCGTCAAAAACACAGAAAAGTATTCTCCTCAATAAATTACATACTAGAAAACAAACAAAAAAAGCATAATAATGTTGAAATAAGCCTTCATTGATAGGCTTGAAAGAGTAATAGGTAGGTCTCGCAGTCTATACCTTACGTCACGTTTCAAGTTCCCCCACCACGCATTTCTGAGTGAGAGAACCTGGTAGTTTCACTGACCTTAGTACCGCGCTATATAGGTATCATTGGACTTAATAGTCAGAGACGGCAGTTGTTTCGCTTTATAAAGGAGTAAAGCTGTGATTCTTAGCACTGTGCTTTTTATCCTGCTTATAGATGAAATAAGGAAGGTTTTTAGAAGCAGAAATTTAAGAGCAGTAGTGGTATAATTCTCAGACGTAAGAAAAGCAGCCAAAGTGAATGTGATAACTGTGAATTATTATACCAGTCCTCAGATATTCGCTAGGATTTTAGAGCAGTGGTGCATTAAAGAAAATTGAAGAGGTGCATGTAGCTTTTAGACCTGGAAATATATATATATATATATATATATATATATATATATATATTTATTAGACGCGAAACAGCCCTGAACGACTACGCGACTATGAAACTGGTTTCTTTTTCAATTTTCTCTTTTCTGTCCATCTCTGCTTGAGGATATCGCTAATTTTTTTCTTCCTCTGCTCCGTCCACTTCCTCCTGGACGGAAGTTCCTTACTTTCCACCACATGCATAGGACTTTTCAGGAATTTCTTGTATTCTGTCCTACCTCACATAATTCCCATTGAAATTTATGTAATTTCATGACCTATTATCCGACTATAATTCATATCTTAATTTATAATATATAAATGTCGAATTATAAAAAAACCAAGCAATATATATATATTGATATATATATATATATACATATATATATATATATATATATATATATATATATATATATCAATAAACATAAAGTGGCTACTCTTTAACAGGATTTTCTGCATTCTTATAACAGCCTGAACGTTCCATATACATATACAAAATAACTCTTCTTAAAGTACATTTCTACATTGAATAGTGAAGAGTAAATCGGACAATCATAACATTATGAATTTTTACTAAAAATTGAGTGATATATTCCCTTATTCCGTTTACATAATTTTATATTTGGTTCAAGTTTATACCGACCTGATAAAGGTGACCATCGATGGAATAAATCCACATAAAATTAAAAAAAAAATGATTTAAATTTAGTTTTCTGAGAACTCAAAAAATATTATCCATCACCTTTAACCACTTTGTTTTGTTTGCAGGATGCACCGCAAATATTTCATGTAGCCATTTCTTATTATTAATGTTGTGAGAACTTTTATATTCTGGTCAAATTATAAAATGTACCAATTTTTGGAGTTTTTATACTTCTGCTATCGATTAGTAGTACTTGCTGTTCTTTGGTTTTTGGGAGGGAATGATCTCTGATCGATCTGTAGATATGTTACCAGTTATTCCTTCGGTTGATGCTTTGGCTAAGTTTAAGGCGTTTATATTTAAAACAGTGTTCATAGTTTTATTTAAATAATTGTATTTAGTATTACGATAAATAAAAAAGATATGTTTTCCAGGGCGGTTGGTATCATCAGTGAAGAGCAGAAGGAAGGCGGGGATGATGATGATTGGGTCTTCCAAGCAGACACCATCTCTTACACTGAAGATCTGCCATCACCAAGGTACATCAAGACTCATCTTCCGGTGTCTCTTCTTCCGGAGCAGATCTGGACCGTCAAACCGAAGGTAAGGACTTGGCATCATCCTTGCCTAATATATCAACTAAATAACTGAGGTGTAATAGTATACCGTATATGTGTAGTAGTAAACGTATATCCTTATATACGAAAATGTCATTAAAATGATTGAAACGTTATACAATGATACAATGGTTGAAATAGTATATTTTTTATCTAAAACATTTCTCCGGATTCAGATCACCACTAACAATGGGAATTATCACAAAAGATTCTGAACCGAACAAATATGCTTCATACGATTTCAATTGATTGCATGTATAATGGAAAATGTTCTTTATCTCTAAATTGTTATAGAACTTTAAATCTATACGAACAACTCATAAGGCAATAAAATGTTGTACAATTTATATGAATGCGAATATTCAAGTCATTTGGTTCAATTGCTATATTGTATCCCCATAAAATGTGAATAAAACAACAAAAATCTTACCAGGAATAAAGTGTTAAAATAGTATTGTCGTTCCGTACGAGAATTCCCGTTTTAATGCCTTGACGATGTACGAACTTTCCCGTAAAAACTTTTGCACACCTACCCAACATTATATTTACAAGATTTTTTTTTCTAATTATGTTGATGCCCTTGGCTTCCTCAACTCGCAGCGATAATACGCAGCTCTTCTCCATCCTCTCATCCCGAAAATCCGTAAGTCAGCCTCGACATCTTCCAGCCACCGCAGCCTAGATCTAAACCTCTTCCTCTTTTACCAACCGGATGTCTCTATACTATCTTCCTTGGGAATATTTTCTGATCCATTCGATGTGTACATGTTTTAACCTATCCATCCTATCCTTCTCATCTTGGCATACGAAACCAAATATGGATTTCCATACAGGTCCCTAAGTTGCCTTAGTTTTTATTTGTAGCTTTAAGGAAAATTTAAATTTCTAAAACGAAAATTCATATCTATTTATATGAGTGAACTGTTAGATTAATTCGAATCTCAACCCGTAATTAGGTTCCATGCAGTTTTAGCGATAGGGAATACTTTCAAATGTTTATTCTTGCTTACTTAATGTTCATAAGATGTTTTTCGATATTTGCTAAAAGTATGTGTAATTTTATATATAGTAAGTTAAACTTGTTTCGTGCCTTAAATAAAATTCATTTGCCTTCTTGTCCTGTTAAAATAAAACAAAAACAATAAAAATGAAAACAGTTTTAAAATACATGACTTGAGCTAATAGGAAGGCTCTGGTCTAATTTTATTAAAGTTTTTACAGTTACGGTAATATGATAAGAGTAATCAATGCATGAGTGGGAAAGGGGGGAGGGAGAGGTGGAATGAGCAAATTAATCAATTTATTATCTCTATTATAATATATTATATCTTGAAGGTATTTTTCTGTCGGTACGCCATGTTATTATAAATCCAATGGTTGAGGCATTATTATGAAGAATATCTTTTCCTTCACGGTTCAGCATCTATTCGGTTCATTGGACATTTTATGAGTAATTTTAATGGCCGCAAAACATCTGAGGTTCTGGCTCTCTTTTATAAAATATTGGGAGGAGAAGAGAAGAGTAGAAAGTACCTTAAACCTCTCATTCTTCCCTCCTAAAAAAAATGTCTCGCACCTATTGGTACGAAGATTTATGAGGTAAGATACCAGGACTTGCTAAATGGAGCGGCCTAACGCGAATTAAGGAAGTCGTATAACATAATGTAAAGACTTTTATATATTTAATTTTAATGTAAAATAAAATGTTACATTGATTTCCAAAGACACTTCTTACAAACTGTTCTTGTAAGACCTAAACTAATGTTACAGAAGTTGCATCAAGCATACTATTTATAAATAGAATACCTTTATCTAAATAATATATCCCGAAATATGGGGTGGGAATAGATCCTGCTGGAAGGAGAATGAGGGAATAGGCTTTTTCATAATTTATAGGAGTGGGAACCAAGGACGGATGTTTTCAAGTATTTGTATTGCAAAATAAAAAGGGAGAATATTACAACAATATCTTAAACATTATCTGTATGAAAATTATTGCCTTTTATCTCGAATGTGTAAAATACTCGTTGCCCAACAGACTTTTAACTCTGCCTTAATTTCTCCACCCTCTCCCCTTCTTCTTATTCGGCGTTACGACCCACTAGTTGAGTCACAGCCTGCTTAAGCTTAGACCGCCAGTTCTGCCTGTTCCGTGCTGCTGCCTTCCAGTTCATAACACCGAGCAGAGATCTCGCGTCTGCAGTCACGCAGTCCTCCCAGCGAAGTCTGGGGCGTCCAACCCGCCTGATACCATACATTTGCCAAGCTAAGATCTTGTAAGGAGCACTTTTCTTTAGAAACGGAGAAGGAGATGCTCAAGGGATTTAGTTGTAGTCCAACATTCTGAGCCATATGTAAGAACTGGTCGTATAATTGCCTTATAAATTCTCACTTTAGAGGCCTTCGACAACACCCTACTTCTCAAAAGTAATACCCTCTCCTCTGAACCGGGAAAAACCCCGCTTCAACAAAAAAGCGCTTCAACAAGACGAACTTCAACACTAGAAGAAATGCTCCTCGGGTCTCCTGTTGTTGGATTTCAGCGGAAATTTAGACCCTTTCATTATATTAAAGTATATCGGTGAAACATTTCTCTCTTCGTGACCTTGGAGTTCTGGAGATCCAGATATCCGAAAATCCGTCATTGCGAAGCTTTATTACATTTTTAATGATTTTCACTCAGATTATTTTTCTTGACGGAATGAAAAAAAAACATGTATTTAAAAAAAATTATAATAAAAAATAGCACACACAGAGCCGAACCGCTTGTCAAATAATCAACTTATACAGAAATAAAATAATAAATAATACAAAAAAGCGAAAACTCAAGAAAAGAAAAAAAGAGGCAATTATTAAATGTTAGAATATAATGGAAAAATTACTAACACAAAACTTTGAGTCATTAAAATGCAGGTAAAAAACTAACTGATCAACGTTACGTCAATTCATGCATCATCAAGACAAAGACAATCTAAATCATATTTACTCACTCTTCAGTAGGCGTTCAAATGTGGAGTGGTCTTATGTATTTCACTAACTATTCTTAATGTCGAGGCGAGATATGTTGTATTTTGTATAAATTTGTTTGTAAATATATATATATAATTGACTGGAGAAAAATGGTACGAGTAATTTTCCGAGCTGTAATTACTTTTTAATATATTCTCATTTTGTGGAAGACATTTCTATTTAAAAGTAATTGGAAGAGAATGTAATTTATGATATATTAAAATTCAAGCACTTGTTAATTCAATTCCGCTATAATATATAATATAACATAGTTATAAGTTGTTTTATAATTATGTATTAACTACTGAACTAATTAACTTTTGTTTTTACCAATTAGAAATTAAAATTTTTATTGAAATAAGGAAGGAAACTTAGGGCAAATTATTTTTAATAAGGTATATATAAAATTCTCGGTCTCAAAATTTTTCTCTTTTATTTATTGTTCAAAAATGTGTAGTTTATTTTTAAAATATTGATTAGTAGGTGCCCAATATGCATATCATCGTATATGCCTGAACGTCGTTAAGTTGTAACTACGTTTAATATATAAAAGATTTTATGTTATTTTAGGTCACCTATTGTGTATTTTTATCAATAAATACATAATACAGCTTCATAAAAAATGTACTTATGTTAGTGACTTTTTACAGTAAACCGACGGTATGTAACAAAATCAAATACATTCCAGCATTGTTGACATAAAGCGAATCGCAAACAATTATATGGTTTCAGTGCGAAAAGATGGTATCAATTATAGTGTAATTGACAATATACTATTTCCAAGGTCTCCTGGTTAAATATAGAATTCGTCCTTCACTATCGTAGTTTCATTACAGTAATTTATAAGTGCCAACGTAGGGTGTGGATTTCCAATGCAATCGGTAGATAGTATTGAGTAATCAAGGCTGCCTTAAAGAAGGAAATATACACATTCCAAAGCTGAGGTATTTATAAGAATATAAGAAAAACTCAAGCATGATTGCAAAATGCCAAGAACATTTTGAACTTGTTTACTTTGTTTTGATCTCGTTCATTCTTTTTGCTTTCATGGAACCATTTTAATTTAATTTTTTTAATAATAATAAGTGTGATTTTATGAAAATACTCAATCATAACTACGATTCACAAACCCAATAAGCCTATAGACCGTCCTGATTCTTATCGCCCTATTAGTCTTCTACCTGCTCTATCTAAAGTATTCGAAAAAATCCCGTTCGTGGTTTAAATTCACTTAGACTATTTGATGTAATTCCAAATTTCCAGTACGGATTCAAACAGCATCATTAGACTATTCAGCAATGTTACCGCCTTGTGGATTACATATCTTTCTCGCTACTGTACTGTCTTGGCGTTTTTCTTGACATGAGTCAGGCTTTTGATAGAATATGGCACGATGGTTTGTTACATAAATTAAAAACGATTATTCCTCCGACGTATTACTTAATTTTACTATCATATCTAAAAGATAGATTTTTCCGTGTGAAAATGCGGATTGAGTTTTCTTCCATCAAACAAATAAAAGCTGGGGTACCAAAAGTAAAAGTGTTGGACCCAAGACACTGCCCTACGTCTTGGGTCCAACACTTTTCAACATTTACTGTTCCACAGTAAACATCCCACAACATTCTGAAACACTGTTGGCTACATTTGCTGATGACTCGGCAATATTAACATCTAACAAGGATGCAGCTAAGGCTTCTCAGGTACTTCAATAACACCTAGACGACATAGCTGGGTCTCCACTTGGACAAATGAATGACATGGACATACCACATAAAACAAAAAAGAAAAGAACTTAATCAGTGATACGGACTTCTTTCTAGGCTACTTGACAGACGTTCTAAATTATCTGTGAATAATAAATTAACTATTTACAAAGTCCTGATTAACCAACTTTGGACATATGGGATCGAACTGTGGGGAACAGCAAAGAAATCAAATACAAAAATCGTTCAGTCATTCCAGTCAAAAGTCCTT